CCCCCGGTTTCAAGTTCTCCAACGTGACGCTAAATAGGCCCCTGCTGGGAAGTTGGAAACCACGTTTGATGGAACAAACAAGCTTCGAGCCATTGAGCTTCGTTGGCGCCGACCTCCAGTAGGCAGGCTTTGTGGCGTCTACAGTCTCGAGCTGCGCCCTCTTCTTGACCTACCAACCTTACCTAGGAACCTGCGCAAAATGATCTACAGTGCCCGAAATAGAGCCTGGAGGCGATCAGTAGGCTGTACAGCAGGCTGTCGACCCACCCGCCTTGGCCTTCAGCAGCACGGTAAGAGCCACTGAAGCTACCTAAGCCTAAAATGCATGACGCACTGTACCTAGGTACCTACCTAGCTGTCCAGGTGTGCCAGGTACTTGAGTGTTGGCAGGCGGTTCCTCAGTTCCTTAGGTGCTTCCCTGCTTATACCACACTTCTGTTATCGCAACCGCCCTGTTTTCTTTCCCGCCTCTTGTTTTGGCCATTCCCTCCATCCTCTCCATCGGCGCAACACCTCGTCTGCCCGAAATTTATACTCTCGACCAACATAATTTACAACCGCATCGCTGCAAACCTGCCTTTCCCTGCCGCGTTTTGCTCTTCGCAGCCACTTCCTTTCAACGACGCTTTCTCGATACCACACCTCCACGACGCCTCCTGCCGCCCAAAATCGCCTTCCCTCGTCTCATCGCATACCTCGGATTGGGTCCCTATACAAAAATCTGTCCATGTTGCACCCGTCGAGCTAGCTTCCAACTTCCCCCTCCTTCCGCCATGTACGACCATGGCGCCGCAACCGCCGCCTATCAACCCTTTCTATCCGGCGCGCTCCCCAATGCCGACTTCAACGACATCGTCGCTCGATCCGCCATGGGAGGCGGCTCCAAGCAGCGGCCGGCTTCCTTCAAGGCTATCGGTATCAGTTTGGCTATTAGTTCTGGCTGCCTAATTGGCGTCTCTTTTGTCTTGAAAAAGGTCGGACTCCTCAAGGCCAACGAAAAATATAATGAGGTCGCTGGCGAGGGCTATGGCTACCTCAAGAACTTTTACTGGTGGGCTGGCATGACGCTCATGATTCTCGGCGAGATTTGCAACTTTGTCGCATACGCCTTCACTGACGCCCTCCTCGTCACGCCCCTCGGCGCACTCTCCGTTGTCATCACGACCGTCCTGTCCGCCATTTTCCTCAAAGAACGACTTAGTGTTGTCGGCAAGGTCGCCTGTTTCCTCTGCATAGTGGGCTCCGTCGTCATTGTGCTCCATGCCCCCGAAACGTCCTCTGTTGGCAACATCCAGCAGATGCAACAGTACGCCATATCGCCTGGCTTCCTCACATATGCTGGCATCATCATCGTCGGCTCCGTCATCACCGCGTGGTATGCCGGTCCCAGATGGGGCAACAAGAACATGCTCGTCTACATCTCCATTTGCAGTTGGGTCGGCGGTCTAAGTGTCGTCTCGACTCAGGGTCTCGGCGCATCCATCATTGCCTGGATTGGTGGAGAGCCAGAGTACAAGCACTGGTTCCTATGGGTACTGCTTGTCTTTGTCGTCTGTACCCTGCTCGCCGAAATCATTTACCTCAATGTCAGTCTTTGTAGCGCCACCTCATATCTATCTCCTTGGCTAACGCCTCTCACAGAAAGCGCTCAATCTTTTCAACGCCGCCATGGTGACCCCCACCTATTACGTCTACTTCACAAGTACCACCATCATCACATCTGCCGTTTTATTTCGGGGTTTTAAGGCACCAGGTAGGGATCTGGCGACAATAGTAATGGGATTCCTCGTCATTTGTTCTGGTGTTGTGTTGCTACAGTTGTCCAAGTCAGCCAAGGATGTTCCGGACACGGCCGTCTTCCGCGGTGACCTTGATCAGATTCAAACGATCGCTGAGCAAGAACAGCCCGAGACAGAGCCCAAGGCGGACGCCATTCGTGGTACTGCAGCGATCGTGCGCAAGATCTCCCAAGCACGCCAAAGGATGGAGGAGAGAGAACTGGCGCGCTTGCGTGAAGAAAAATCGATGGATACTCTCCAGCCGATTGAAGAAAACGGCCAGCCGCAGTATGAGTGGGACGGACTGCGACGACGCAAGACCCTAGTGTCGAGCACGCGCACACGTTCCGTCACCTCACCCGGTCCCGCGCCGTTTACGCCGCCTCCTCCCAGTCCCCACCCGCCCCTGGGCATGTCCGCGTTCCCGACTGACCAGGATGTGGAGGAGCAAGAACGCCCCAGCACCATGTTTTCGAGCATTGTCGGCACCATCCGAGCACGCTCCCGAACCAATGCGACTATGCCTCCGTCATACGGTGACGAGGAGTCGGGCCGCCCGCGGAGCCCGGGCATCCGCCCGGTGCCACTGACGGAAATTGTCCTCCCCAAGGACAACAACGACGATGAAGCAGGTTCCTACTATGGTGCCTCGCGCGAGCACGTCTTTCCGAGGGACACGGCCTATCGGGGCGCGTCCGCGGGCAGCGGCACGAGCCTAGCGCCGCCGACGCCGCCGCCGCACTCGGCTCGCCGCCAATTTTCGTTTCAGCGCGTCTTCCGCAAGACGCCAGACACTACTGAAGAGGAGCGTCTGGGGCTTGTCAAGGAATTAGACGGCACGCGAAGCGGCGAGGAGGAAAACGACTACAAAGATGATGACCCGCAGAAAAAGGGCTTTGTTTGAGCGCACTCAACGAGAAGATGGAGGAGCATGACCTTGCATTATTATGGCGCAATCTGCGGTCCTTGGTTAAGGAATGTCAATAACGACTTTGTTTTTACTGTCTAAGCGAGCTACTGGTGCGCATGTAAGCTACGTACCTTTTTTTTGTTTTCTTTTTCTGCTTTCTCTTCTTTTTCTTGTATTGTCTTGCATGGATGGACTATTGCACTCTTTCGGTAATGAAACAGCATTTGCCAAGTCGGGTTGATCTTCAAGAAGTGTTTATCTGCATTTTTATCTCGATTATTCTTTTTGGAGGCTATCGGGGATTGCAACGTCTTGATGACTGAAACGCACGCAAACGATGTTGACTAGGATAGACAAGGGGCTTACGTGAAAAACGCAACGAACAGAAGGGGAAAAAACGCTTATATATATTACAATGACTTGATGATTCTACTTCTGAACAAAGAATGTATGCAGTGTGCTATGTGTAAATGTCCATGCCAACAACTCGGCTTGTGCATGTGCGCGCTGGGAAAAGTATATACGAGAAGAAGAAGAAGAAGGGGGGGGGAAGACGTCAATGCTTTTGTTGGAAACCTCCGAATTACCAGTCGGCGGCCCAGCCATTGTCCTTGAGAAAGTCCTCGCAGGCCTGCCGCAGAGCCATATTCGGCCGCAGGTCGGATGCGACGAGGGGCTCTCGCGTCAACGGATCACAGGGATGTCGTCGAAGATGCTCCATGATGGATGCGCGCTCGTACGACTTGCCCGTTTTCGTCTGCAACACCGCGGTCAAGAATTAGCACGTACTCTGACCAAAGTCTGCGCATCGGGAGGAAAATAAAACTCACCATGACCGGATCAACCATGAAGCCAAACGAAATATCATCAATCGCCCAGTCCGGCACCTCGCGCAGACCCTCACCCGCCAGCTTCCTGGACCGCTCAAACACCGCCATTAGCCTTTCCTCCTTCTCCCTGGCCTCCTCCTCCATTGCGGCCCTCTCAGTCTCATCCACCTCCTCCCCGGCCGCCGCCGCCGCCGCCGCTGCCGCCGAGACATCCGCCCTCAGCAGCTCAAGCATCTCCCTCTCCAGCGACTGTTCCCCCCTCACCCTGCGCTTCTCGCGGCGCTCCCAGCGCGCCTTCTTCGCGCGCAGCACAACGGCGGTGACGGCGGCGAGTGACTTGTCGTTGGTGGCGACGCAGAGGGCGTGGGCGGCGAGGCCGGCGGAAAGCGCGCCGTCGGGGTCGTCGATGGCGAGGCGCGCCTGGCTCGTGTAGTAGTGGGCCTTGAGGTGGGAGGCGGGAGCGCCGGCGCCGGCGACGGGGAGGGCGAACACGGACTGACAGTCGGTGATGACGGAGTCCCAGAGGGAGAGCTTGAGGCGGGCCATGGCGCGGTTGGTGTAGAGCGCAGGGTTCTTGGGGTCCTCAATGATGCTGGGTGCGCGCGGGAACATTAGCGGATGAGAAAAGACAATGAAGACGCGAGAAACAGGATGACGGCCTACGCTTGTGAATAGAGGCTCTCGGCGCCGACGTAGTTGCCCTTTTGGAAGAGGCGATTGCCTTCCTCCTTGAGCTGGAGCGCACGCGACATGTCTGCGTGGCGTTGGATCCTTGTATATGCAGAGATTCTCTCGATTGTGATCAGTGAAAGTACACGTGTGACTTGGATGACGATATCATGTAAGCTTTTCCGTGTGTGTGCTGGTTCGTTCGTTGACGGAAGCTGAGGGCGATTGGGCTCGCCTTCCGTGGGGTAAGAGATGCAATGTCGAGAGGTGGTGGCGTTATGCAGCAAGTTCTAGCACATGTTCTCTTCTTCTAGCAGCACAAATACGAGACCTGGAAGCAAAAAGTAGCGAATGTAGGAACAGAAAAGTCGGAATAAAGATATTCTTAGGTGGCGGAGTTTTGAAGGGGACCCTGATTATTGTACGGTCCGTCATTGCGGTGGTGGTGGAGGCGGAGCACTGGCACCTAGAGCTGAGAATCGTGGGCGACCCGCTTTGTTCTTGTCTCCGGTCGGCAGCGGCTTGGGTGGATCTTTCTAGAAGCTCATCACTAATTTAAAACTTCCAATCCAAGAAATTCTTCGTCACCGAGCAGCCATGATGCAGCATCGTTGGGCAAATCTCGCCCAAACAAAAAAAAAAAAATGAAGTAGACGACCCAAGAAACGCTAGGTCTTTGCCGCCAAGACACCTGTCATAAAAAGAAACAACAACCTATCATTCATTATCAACGTCCCGTGCATAGCGGAAAGCCAGCTGTCATTTCGGAGGAGCCTGTAGCTTCTCCCATCGTACAGAGCACGTTGATTGGAACACTGCGGCTCGTACTCCCCGACAATCACAGCTACACAGGCGCAGAAAGAATCCCACACGACAGATGCACGACGGGACAAGTACTGGGGCCACGGCCAATCATGGAACTTATCACGAGCCGCGGATACAGAAGAGAGGCCTGTTTCCAGACGTGCCGCTCGTCAGGCACCCTGGCTGCCCAGCATCCTCGTCGTCAATTGCTCTGCTGCGCCGACGGTTGCCAGACTCTGTTACAGGGATCGCTGAAGCTCCGGTGAAGCGGCATGTAATGGGAAACGATCAGAAAAGTTGACGGGATATTATTAGCCTGACTGTTTGCCTGTCCCACGCTGGTATCACGCTGGCCCGTCCAGCACAAGGAACCACGGGCCGTCAAATTTTGACTGCCAATTCAGCCTCGTGTCAAAGAAAAGACACACACAATGAGCACGGCACCGGCTGGATCCAGTGTGCCAGATGCAGGAGGGTGTTGCGGTGTCGCCCACACAAAATGCCACACGAATGCCACAAAATGCCGGCATTATTTTAGTTGCGGTGCTAGACTGCAAATCGGCCTACGACTATATCGCGGCGCTAAACCCAATCAGTTGAACGATGTACGATTCGACAATCTTGAACCGACAAATGGTGTAAGTCGTTGCGTCGACACGCGCAAAAAAAAAAAAAATTTATATGGAAAGCTCCTTGTGAACTATCCTTATCTTCTATACTCGCCAAGTCTCCGTTCAAGCTACTCATTTGATGCGTAGATAGCCCGCCATACATCTTTGTCCTTGGCAGCAACGCCAGCATCGTCTACAATGAACTCGTCCTCAAGGCAGGTCTTCCCGTCGCCTGGCCCTTTTGCTCCGTGGCCGACCATCTCGCCAGCGGTGCCGTCTTCCTCGGCAGCCCCATCCTGAAGCTCGTCGAGACCAACAAACACGAGCGCCGTGATGCCCTTTTTGCCCGAGTACGGCGTCGCGCTAACACCTCGCATCATCATGTTTGAGAGCCGGGCCCGCGCCACCACGCGCGGCATCGAGCTCGGCGTCGACGACAGCTTCTATGACCCCACAGGCAAACTGCTCTGGACGCGCGCTCTGGTGTCCTAGCTCAGCGGCGCCAGCCGAGACACCTTCTTCTGCATATGCCGATTATCTTGTAGTTTCCTGTTGATCTCGAAAGAGCACACATCTTTGAGTACATATGGCGGAGGGCTGCAATGGCGGAATCAGGACCCGGTCGCCCGGTCCGGGCGCGGTTTGCTGCTTGCGGGCTCGTCGCGCACCAGTACATATGAGTGCAACGTGGTTCACATGCGAAATGTAGCCGGGTCCCAAGAAACGTTATTTTCCGGCTGAATTGTGGCAAAATGCTCTCAAGTTGTACTGTACGGAGAAACTACAGTCGAAAAGGCAGTCGGACTGTGGACGCAAGTTCGGGGGCCGCAACCATCCGGGTGCCGCTCACACCTTGATGGCAGGTTGGTTTGGGTATTATCTTTGGCAGCCCAGCCAGTTTGGTTTTGACACAAGTTACTAACTGCACACAATGCAACTGGGTACTCTGTATTGGAGTGCTGAAACAATCTATTACGGCATATGATGAAAAACAGTCAAAGCGCTGCTTCGGTCTCGTTTGGTTTTACCCAGCTGGCGACCCGCGACAGCATCTACGCCCACAGATCGAGAACGACACGACCCTTCAGCTTTCCCTCGTGCATCTTTTCAAACGCGCTGGTCAGCTCGTCTAGCTTGATGACGTGCGAGCGCGACTTGATGACGCCCTTGGCGGCGAGCGCCAGCACCGCCGCCGCGTCATTGTTGTTGCCCACCGTGGAGCCCACAATGTTGAGGCTCAAGTTGATGATGTGAAACGGAAAGGAGCCGCCAATCGGCTCGGGCGTGTACTCCGGCACGCCCACGCACACCAGCGTGCCGTCGAAGCGCAGCAGCCCCAGCGCCTGCGCGTAGGCGACATTGGACGGGGTGCAGACGACGACGGCGTGCGCGCCAAGCCCGTCGCACAGCTCATGCACGTGCGCCGCGAGCGCCTGGCTGCCGGCCTCGTCGCGCCCGTACTGCGTCATGTCGACAAAGTGCTCGGCGCCCGACTCGCGCACCAAGTCCGCCTTGCTCGGGTGGTCGACGCCGACGACGCGCAGGCCCAGCCCGCGCGCGGCGGCCTGCACCGCGAGGTGGCCAAGGCCGCCGCCCGCGCCCGAGATGACGACCCAGTCGCCGCGTTGGGCGCGGCTGCGGACAAGCGCCGCGTAGACGGTGATGCCGGCGCATAGCATCGGCGCGGCGTCGACGGCGGAGAGGCCGTCGGGGATCGGCGTCACGTAGTGGGCCGGGCCCAGCACGTACTGCTGAAAGGTGCCGGGCACAAAGTAGCCCGAAATGGACCGCTTCAAGCAGCAGCCGTCCCGGCCGGCTTTGCAGGGTGCTGCGGGCGGGAGGGAGTCCTCTGTTAGCGGGAGAGAGGGGTGATGACGCGCGCGGGGAGGGGGCGCGGGCACAGCCGGCGTAACGTACCGCATTCACCGCAGATGCTGGCGAGCCATTTGACGCCTACGCGACTGCCAAGCTTCAGTCCGGAGCTTTCGGCGCCGGGACCAAGCTTGACGACTTGGCCGATGCCTTCGTGGCCGCCGACCTGATCCTTGGGCGTGGGGGAGGGCAGCAGAGCCCACGAGCGGGTCATGACGCTCAGATCAGAATGGCAGACGCCCGAGTGCGTTCTGGAGGCAGCGAGGTCAGCAGGGGTGAGGGAACAGAGAGCGAGACTTGTAAGGCGAAAAAAGAACGTACAGCTTGATGAGGACCTGGCCCTCGGCCGGCTCCGGCGTGGGCAGCTCTACAATCTTGGTCGAGATGGTGCCGGGCTCATCATACACGGCGGCCTTGTACGTTGCTGGAATCTCGATGGTAGATGACATGTTTTCGTCTTTTTTCTGAGTAAGTGTGGTATTATGCTCAAGAGGCTCGGCGGCCCATTTCGAAGCAGTAAACCTCGTGGCTTATAATCGATCCCAAAAAAGGCCTTTGCCCTTTTGGTACTATAAAGTCCGCTCGCCCGCATCCATGCCTCATCGACGCCCCAGACTTTGCTCAAACCGACTCTTCCGAGCCCCGGATTGCAAGGGTCATGCTTTGCACTAGTTATGTTGCAGCTTGGCCATCAACCATGTACTGCTACACTACTTACACAAAAACAGGTTTATTATGCTTACCGATTGGGCACCGATGATCGATGTGGGCAGTGGGGAAAAAAGGGGAAAAATGCGACAGCCAGCGTTCTCCTAACCACCTTGTGCCGCCTCACATTAACCCATTTTACGCCACAAGAATCGTAGAGAGAAAAACTCCAGCGGCGGTGCGGATCAAAAAATTAGCCCGGATAGGCGTTCTGCGCAAGTCTTGTCGCACATTATACGACCCCGAGTATCCGAGATACAAGGTCTCCGCATCCCAGGGCTGGCACACCAGCAGCATGTTTCGCAAATTTCGGAATTGGGTCAGGCTTTTGTCTTTATATCTTTATTCGGCCCCCCATTCCCCCCCTTCCGCCCCCCCGCTCTGTTGGCTGGTGCCGAAGTACACGTGCCCGCACCCGTCGCTCCGCTTGGGTGCTGCAGGGCTAGTTTGGTGGCCACCATAGCCTCGTGGACACACACCAGATACCACCAAAAAATCAAGAAAATAATAATAGTTATATTAAATCTATCTACTTAATATATTATAAAGAAGATATCTAATTAAGTTCCTTAGAAAATCTAATTTATAAAAATAAAAATTAAAAATTATTATAATTTATTATTAAAAATATAAGAATAAAATTATATTTTTGATATAAAAAATATTTTTTATAAATCTAATAAAGAGTTTTAATATAAAATAATAAACTATATTATTATAAAATTATATTACTTTATATAGTACTTTTTATATATTTCTATTATTTATATTAGATTTATAAGAAATATTATTATTTTAAAAAATCTAAAATTTATAATAATATTATATAAAATCTTATAATATTTTTATAACCTAACTCTTAATCTCCTTATTAGTAAAATAGCTTAAACACTTAATATTACTTAAGGTATAATTTTAATATTTTTAGTAGCTTTTATATTAAAGAAAACTCTTTACGACCACGTGGCTATGGTGGCCGCCTAGATCCTGCAGCACGTAAGCGGAGCGACGGGTGCGGGCACGTGTACGTTGTGAGCAAGCGTTCTTTTCGCAGCCGAAAAATCGCCCCGTTGCCGTCGGGGCTATATACCCACAAACGGAGCTGGGGTAACGCTTTTAGTAGTCCGGCGCCAGAGGAAGCCTCTGCACAATTATAATTAGTTGATCCATCGTCCATCGTTGGTCATGTTTGCCGACTATAGTCTGCCTTGATTGGCTTGTTGCAGGCTCGTTATTGGTAATAAGTGGCATGTAGCCGGCCGCCACCGTCCAAAGTGCCCCCGACCGGGCCACGACGCCCGGCTCTCCTGTATACGAGAAGGATTTATTGTTTCGCACTTGCCCGCTGCCACAATTATAACTAGCATTGCATCCCTGGTTCAAATCTCCCAGATATTGAAAGAAGAATAAAATCGCACAAAAATAAAATTGTCGTCGCGCCGCTATGCCAACTTTGCTCGCGTACTGGCCCATTGCGGCCGGCATCGTCACCCTCTACATCCTCCAGCAGCTATGGATCGAGTATTCGCACCGCCAGCGGGCGCGCGCTCTCGGGTGCAAGGCCCCCTACCTCCGCCAGGGAAAGCTTCCGCTCAGCGTCGACCATTTATACAGGGCGCTCACGGCGCTCAAGGAGGATGAGTTCCTCAACCTCGAGGTCCGCACCCACGCGGAGATCCCCGGCGGCCTGTCCACCTTTCACCAAGCGAGCCTGGGCAGGAAGATTCTCATGACGACGGATCCGGAAAACATCAAAGCCATGCTCGCGACGCAGTTCAAGGACTTTGGTCTGGGCCCGATTCGGTACAACGTCTTGGAACCGCTTCTCGGCCGCGGCATCTTTACGTCTGATGGCAAGGACTGGTTCGTGGCAATTAATTCCCCGAGCATTGATTCTGCTTCAGCCCCAAAAAAGTACTAATGCAAAAAAAAAAAAAATACAGGCAACATTCTAGAGCAATCTTGCGTCCTCAATTCTCACGTACCCAAATTTCCAACCTCCACGTGGAAGAGATTCACGTCCAGCACCTTTTGAACCGCTTAGAGCAAGACGCCGGCGGCTGGACCAAGGAGGTCAATCTTGCTCCCCTCTTTTTCAACCTGACACTAGACTCGGCCACCGAGTTCTTGTTTGGCAAGAGCGTCAACACGCAGGTTCTGCTCGGCCCCAACGCCAAGGCCAGAGTCGGCGGCGGCGGCGGCGGCGGCGGCAGCGAAAAGGCCGGCGACGAGGCCATGGAGGACTGGTCGTCCTTTGGCCAGGCCTTTGACAGCGCCAACCGCAGCATGACGCGGCGCTTCCTCCTCATGAGCTTCTACTACCTGCACAACCCGTCGTCGATGCACCGCGACTGCGCCGAGGTGCGTCGCTTCGCCGACTACTACGTGCAGCGGGCGTTGGCGCGCTCGCCGGCGCGCGCGGCCGAGGAAGACGGCACCGAGTACGTCTTCCTCAACGAGCTGGCCAAGGAGACGCGCGACCCGGACGTGCTGCGCAACCAGCTGCTCAACATCCTGCTCGCGGGCCGCGACACGACGGCCGGCCTGCTCGGCTGGGCCACGCTGCGCCTGGCGCGCCAGCCCGCCGCCTACGCCAAGCTGCGCGCGGCCGTCGTCGCCGACTTTGGCCCGTACTCGGCCACCGACACGTCGCGCATCACCTTTGAGACGCTCAAGGCTTGTACTCACCTGCAGCACGTCCTGTCCGAGACGCTGCGTCTGCACCCTTCGGTGCCGGCCAACTTTCGGCGCGCGCTTCGCGACACGACGCTGCCCCGCGGCGGCGGGCCCGACGGCCAGTCGCCCATCTACGTCCGCGCCGGCTCCGAGATTGCCTACAGCACAAACGTCATGCACCGCCGGCCCGACCTGTGGGGGCCCGACGCCGCCGAGTTTCGTCCGGAGCGCTGGGAGGGGAAAAAAGTCGGCTGGGAGTATCTGCCGTTCAACGGCGGGCCGCGCATCTGCCTCGGCCAGCAGTTTGCCCTGACCGAGGCCGCGTACGTGCTGGTTCGTCTGGTGCAAAAGTACGACTTGATGGAGAATCTGGATCCGAGCCCGGTCATCAAGTCGAATTTGACTTTGACGTCATCGCCCGTGCAGACGCTGGTGAGACTGCACGAAGCTGCGGCTTGAAGTTGTTTGTGCATTTTATGACGCGTTATGAATGTTTTCTTGAAAACTAGGAAACCTTTCTAGATCATGATTGTCATTTGGTCTGCATGTTTATATGATTTATCTGAACCATTTTGCTGGCTTTATAGAACCCTCTATCGAAAGCAAGCCTCTTATCGAGGTTGAAATGTGGAAATTCCTTTGAACTTGCCGTCTTCATGATCCCATCCTGACCGAGACCGCTTGCTCTATAGTACGGCGTCTCGAGATTGAATATATAATGCTTGCGCTTCTGTATGCACCACGCCCTCGGCGCCCACTATCCTAGCCTCCAGGAACCACTTTCTGCCATCCCGCCTGACCAGCCGCGATTCCACCGCGTAGACACCCGGCGACACGGGCCTCTTGTACGTCGTGTTGAGATACGCCGTGTACATTCTGTTGCGCGACGCGCCGCTGCCCTGCTGTGCCTCGACGCAGCCGCACAGCCCGTCGACGTTGTAGCCGACCACCTCGTCGAGCAGCGACGCCAGCAAGCCGCCGTGCGTCGTGTCGCGGTAGCCGTTGAGCTTGATGCCGAGCTGAAAGAGCGCCACCGTGTCGGGCTGCCAGTTTGATGAGGACGACGCACTGCTGCTGCTGCTGCTGCTGCTGCTGCTGCTGCTGTCGTCAAACTTGTACTCGAGGCGGGCAATGGAGCCGCGCAGGAGCAAAAGTGCGTGCGGAATGGTGTCGGGCGACTTGATTGTCTCGCCGAAAAAAGTGTCGGCGCCGTCGATTTTGGGCGAGCGGCTGTAGAATGGCACGGGCAGCAGGTCGCGGCTGCGGTCGAGATAGGCGACGGCGTGCGGGACGGTGGAAAAATAGTCAACGGCGGCTTGGTCGATGGGCATCTTGCCGATATAGTCAAGCAGGCGCGCCGACTGTAGGTCTGGCATGGCTGGATTGGCTGGCGTATTCTAGGTAGTTGACTGGCGGCGAACTTTGGTACCTGGGTAGGTACCTAGTAGGAGCTGGATCTGAGATGCCTGTGATTTATTCGGCAAAGGCTCGACAGAGGGATCAGCGTGCTTCTATATAAAGACAGGAATTATTAACTGCATGCAGGAATATGTTGTTGGAGGGGAGAAGAAAGTTATATAGACGACTAGGACGTTGATCAGCCGCGGCTTTGGCTGCAAGTTGATCCTCGGCGTCCGGGCGCGCGAAAGCCCGTTGGTACATCCATGACGGGGGCAGAATTGCATCACCCGCATTGGCAGCTACTGGATATCAGCGCCAGTTGTAATTTCCTCTCAGTCATAATGTTCAATTTCGTATTTGCATCATCCATCGTCTTGTCCGTCCCTGCCGTCTGTTTACTTCTCCTTGCAGCATGCACTGCTACAGCCTACGCCCGCAGCCAGAACTGGCCCAGCCCCGCCACCCAAATCTCAGAGGCTGACTTTTTTCCCTCTTACACCAAACTTCTACCCCTTCTTCATTGAACGCCGAGCACAACGACACAGCTAGCCTTTGGACATGAGCCATGTCTCCGGGCCTGACGCCGTATCCAGTCTCCTGACGCTCGTCGTCACCACGTCGCCAACGCCTTCCGCCCCCTCGACCGGGCTACTTTGTGGGGTACTCGAGTCGTTTCAAACGCACTGTAATGCGCTGCTCCAATGCAACGTGATTGTCGTGTTTGATACATATGATTACATTGCGACGACTCCGCGATTGAAAAAGGGCCAAGTCACCCCAGAAACAGCCGAGAGATACAGCACCTACAAGGACAATGTCAAGACACTGTTCCTGGAGACCTTTGACAAGAGCGCCGACGGCCCGACGCCACTGATAGAGACGGCCGGTGAGGCCGAGTATGGCTCGCCAAACCTTACCACACCTGTGCCATTCACCATTTCCTCCACGGCAGACGGGCATGTGCAGTTCATCGAAGCCCAAGACCGGCGTCTCGGCTTCGGCCTCGGCGTGCGCAGCGCCCTTCGCATCGTGCAGACGCCCTATGTCTGGATTCACCAGCACGACTGGCGACTCATCTACGACATACCCGTCGCCGCGCTCCTCGGCGCCATGCAAGCCTCGACCGAGGGCGGTGACGACGACGACGCCGCCGCCGCCGCCGCGCCCATCCAGTACATCTGCCTGCCCTCGGGCCGCCGGTCCTCGTACGCCACGTCGGAGCAAGTCCTGCCGTACCCAGCGCTGCGCGACGTCTCGCGCGCCCTCACCGGTGCATACGCGGGCGGGCCCGGCCAGCCCTCCGTGCCGCTGACGCCCATGTTCTTCTGGCACGACAAGCCGCACCTGGCCGCGACGGCGCACTACCTGACCCGCGTCTTTCCCTCGCGGCTGGCCATGATGCGCGGCGCCTTCATCGAGGACTCGGTCGGCCAGCAGGCCCGCAACCAGATGAAGGAAGGGCAGTGGCGCAAGTGGGCCACGTGGCTGTACAATCCCGACGGCGGCATGAGCTGGTGCCTGCGGCATCTGCACGGGCGGACGTGGAGGGGCGAGGAGGAGGAGGAGCGGAGGAAGAGTCTGGCGGTGCTTCGCGGACGGGGGAAGAAAGAGGAGGGCCCGTGACGAAAGTACGTCTGGCGTCGGGGAGCGACGTGTATGATACGGATCTCGCGGCGATTCTTTGAGGGCATCTTTGGTTATTTGCCATTTCCAGACTAGCAATGAAATGTTTTTTTCTTTTTTTCACTCTGCGCCTTGAATCTTATTGAACACAAGTGAACATTTTGAACTTGGCAGAACGCGCTGTCGTATTCACGCAAGGGAGTTGCTACACGGCAACTGCAGATTCTAGAGATAACGAGTAACGCCCCCCTCGTTCCTCGTTTGGCGTCAAAGCTTGAACGTATGAGGACGACTTATGATTAACTTGAGCCTTGGTTTCAATTATAACGTCATTTCAGAAACTTACAGCGTGGCACAGTAATTAATCAGTTAATGACTACCTAATGACTAGTTAATAACTAGTTATTAGTCACTAACTCATTATTTACTGTGGTGGCCACGCTGTAAATTTCTTAAATGACGTTACAATTATAGTCAGGGCTCTAAGTCACCAGTTCTGGTCTTGGTGCAAAACTCGCTGCAGCCCTCTCATTGGCCCAAATCAACGATGTGCCTACTTTAATTGCCTAGATCAATCACAGCGGGCCAGAACCTGCAGCACACAACAACCACAATAACAAGCAACAAAACACCAACCATTTTCTGCCAGTGATAACGTACGTTTTATTCCTGACGGGACCAGCAGGTACCCTCAGGCTTTGATGCGAAGCGAGAAACGAGGGGGCCGTTTCTCGTTCTTTTTAGAATCTGCAGTTGCCGTGTAGCAACTCCCTTTATCGTGGTAACAGCTACAGGGTACCTAGGTACGCACTGTTGTTGCAAGTTCTACAAGAACGCAATTTTGACCTGGCACCAGGTACGAAAGCCTACTTCTGATCTGTAGAGAATTTCGCTACTGGCACTCTCATAGATCGAGCAACCAGCGCTTTCACACCCCAATTTCACACTAGAGGGCTAGGCTCAAGTCGCCACGACTGGCTAATTCCTATATGCCGTGTCACACCAAGATACGTTGAAAAAAAGAAAAAAAAAGCTGTGGCACATTGTCACCCCAACTCGGCTAGATCAGTGAAATAAGAGCCACAGACAGCTGGTTTTAGGCCTCGAGCAGTAGTTTGTCATGTTTTCCCTTTATGCGATCCTGGGTCTGGCGGTGCATGGCTCGCCATACGCGTGACGAATGACTACAACGTCCCAAAACAGGCATTTTTGCTCCGTTCTGTGAGCTGGTTTTTCAGTACAGAGAGAAGGAAAGAAAGTTTGCTATTGTCACACATGGGATCAAGGGAAGCCACGGGTGCGCCCTCAAAGCGTATTGCGAGGCCGCACGTGACTATGTGGTGCGGCGGACGGTGCAGCGGGTGACGCAGGAGCAGGAAGCTTGGCTCCCGGGCTCACAAACATCGTATCTGACTGGATGGGTTTGACGAATATCGGCATATTTGGCGGGTGCAACAGGCCAGCGCTGATCCCATGTGTGCCGAAGTCTAAGACGAAACAGCGTCAAGGGGGGGACAAAAAAGCTGGCCCATCCTCATAATGCACTACACCAGCACCTAGAGAAACAGAACGAGATGCAAATAATAGAATATAGATAGAGTTTATATATAAAATAGAAAGCATTATTTAGCTATTAAATTATCCTAAGTTAACTTTTTTATGCTAAAAGCTATTTTCTAGAATTAAAACATAGTAAATAAAAAGGTAGTCTTACTTCAAGGATTCTCATTATGGGCCATTTACTTTGTCCCCCCGCTGAGCGTCTTGAAGATCGGCGAGACAGCCTAGTTGAGCAAGTCCACATGACCTCTGGGGAAATAACGATGACCATCTCGTGGATCGAGACGGAAATGACAAATATTCAAGATCATGTGTTTCTTGTTTTGACGTTTTAGCGAATTCTATATCCCAGTTGGTCGTTTCTGGTAAGTATAACGTTAGTTATGTGCCTGCCCGGGGAGTTATTGCCATAAATGTGGACCCAGTGACGACAGACGGGCCGTGTAAAGTGGCGCTATATTTCCGGTCAACAGTAACATCCCTCCCTCTACAAACCGCCGATCGAGCGAAGACTTCAGAACCAGCCAAAGAAGGTCCGCCCACCAGTAACTCGTCTTTCATATCCATAATAAACTTGCCGATTTTTCTTTCGCAGACGCCGCCCGCTCTCAACAAACGACAAACGCAACAAGGCACATCCCCGACCGTGCCGCACTACATAGCCGAGATGCTCCTCATCGGCCTCACCGGGTCCATTGCGACCGGCAAGTCGACCGTGTCCTCGTTGCTCTCCAGCCCTCCTCACAACCTCCCCATCATCGACGCCGATGTTCTTGCGCGCAAAGTTGTCGAGCCCGGAACGGCCGGGTACGCCGCCATCGTGCGGCACTTCGCCGCGTCGACGCCGGACCTGCTCGAAGCGCCGTCTGCCACTATGCCCGCCGACGGGCCATCCGGCCTCGGCCGACCTCTTAATCGCCCTGCTCTCGGCCGCCGCGTGTTTGGCGACTCGGAGGCGCTGCGGCGCGACCGCGCGGCGCTCAACGCCATCGTGCACCCGGCGGTGCGGCGAGAAATGGCCAAGGCTGTGCTGGGCTGCTACGTGCGCGGGTGCTGGGCCGTGGTGCTCGATGTGCCACTGCTGTTTGAGGGCGGGCTGGACCGTTTCTGTGGCACGACGCTCGTGGTGGCGGTGCGCGATCCCGAGGTGCAGCTGCGGCGGCTGACGGCCCGGGATCCGCACCTCAGCCGCGAGGATGCGGAGAACCGCGTGCGCAGTCAGGGCGACGTGCGCGAAAAGGCGGCGCGATGCGCGGCGCGCGGTGAGGGACGCGGCGTGGTGCTCTGGAACGATGGCTCGCGCGAGGAGCTGGCGGAAAGTCTGACCAAGGAGATGTCAAAGCTCAAGGCGAGTAGCCCGGAGTGGTGGGCGTGGGCGCTGTTGGGGTGCCCGCCGCTGGCGCTGCTGGTGGCCGTGTATAGGATCTGGGAGAATGGGAAGCTGAATAGGGAGTGGAATGAAACTAAACGAACGAGCAAGCTGTAGATGGAATGAGGGACTTGTACATTTTGAGCAAATATTTTGAGCGTTTGTTTTGGTCCATCCATGGCCGTTGGCAATGTAGACTGCGAGATTACACGAATATTGATAGGAGAAAACGCAAGCATTCGGCTGATGCCCTAGTATGGCGAGATAAAAGGTTGAATTTCTCGTAAGAGTTCATGCGCTGGAATTGCTATATCACTGATGTGTGGAATTCTTCAGTTGAGCCGCAGGAAGCAGTATCGACAAGGGCAGGTAGGTGGGACGAGAAGGGACAAGAGCTGCAGGAATGTCTGTAATACGGGCAACATAGACGCTCTCCGGAATACTTTCAGAATAGATTTATGCTCGCCACAATCTTCCGCTCATCGTAAAGGGTGTGCTCGTTCGGGCATAGTGTTTGTAGAGAGGGCTCTCGATGCTGGTGGTGGCCCAATCTGTGCGATAGACCGGACAGCCACGTCTAGACGCCAAGTGAGCAGACAGTATAGAGAATTAATGCGTAAATGGTGAGGGAGGACCAATATTTATCCGATATCGGCATTGTGTGACGGCGGAAAGATGCGTTGTCGAGGTCGTCTGCTGGCTATAGCTGTCGCGTGAGCAACTGGAAGAGCAAAGCGAGGCACAAGCCCCGCCGCTCTGCGCACAAGGAACCAGAAACGGAGGTCTATACGAAGAATGGAGAGTATGAAAGATGATTGGGGATGCGGAACGATCTCGAGAGCTGGTGTGGCAGGCGTGGCGTTTGGTCTCAAGTTCTCAATGTGGTGTCGAGGGAAACTCGCGGAGAGGCTATCGTGGGCCGTCGCAAATCTGGGGGAGATAACCTTGAAGTTTAAGCATCCAGAGTAGATTTCAAGACGATATTAGGTGATAGCAACAGCTCGACGCCCGCGCGTGCGGTTACTGCTATGGTCGTCTCGGGGGCAACGACTTCTGGCGGCGAGGGTTTCGCTACTGAAACGCGAATGATTCAAGCAGGACGAGGCGCTAAGGGAGCTGGACAGAAACAAGCCGAGGAATATTCGATCATGTATATATAGACTACCAAGAGAATACATAATCAATCCGACTACTATCTACGTCTATTACCGGCTTCCTCACAGGCCTACAGTTGGTGATGTTGTCGCCCATGACGGTTACCTATCTGGGGCGGGCGTTTTCCTGTGCGGCTCTTGTACCTGGTACAAGGGCCGCTGGTGACTATTCCGATCGCAGAGCCAATCGAGGGTTGCGGCGCGCGGAATTACTGCGACTCCGGGCCAGTCAGCAGGGGCGGCCAAGAGAGCGGGTGCCCAGAAGCGGCGTAGCGGCGAGGAGCGCGCAGGGGTTCTATAATGGCGGCGCCGTTGCAGAAGACAAGGCAAGGAGAGGAGAGGGAGAGAGGAGTTGTCCGTAATAGGAAGCAGCGAAAGTACCCGATACATTGAGGGCCCGTCCCCAGAAAACAAAGGCTGGGCGGGTGGTGGAAGACTCAAGAGGATGAGGTGGTGGCCCCGTCAGTGTACAGGATCAAAAGTGGGTACCTCTCTGTCCCAGTAGAGCCAACCTTTTGAACCTTTTTCCTTTGCAACACGCATCAACACCAACAAGACGGGGGAATTGCACGCTCAGTCGGCATCTTGACCAGCACCTCGCCAAACCTGAATCAGGTATGAGAAGAACCAGCTGCGATCAAATTTTCTTTTGACGGGTGAGTCGACTGCTTTTCATTTCTGGCGGGTGCGCAGAGAGAGGAGCAGTGCAGAGCATCTGGCTGACCTTTTATTGGCAATTACCTCCAGGTAGATCCAGCACTATTAGACGCGCTGCAGCACCTGTGCTACAGTGACTGGCCCGCAAACGCTTCAGCGCTGCAAAAGGTACCTGGATTCCTGAGTTGTACACACCAATCTCATTGTACATGTTGCCTCGCACCAATCTGCCTTTGTTTCCCACCAGTTACCACCCAATGCCACCAATGCCAATCCTTCTACCCTTTTTTCCCTCCTCTTTATTACCACCTACCTACCTACATCCTCATCCTCTCTCACACACATCACGCTGCATCTTCAGCTACTTGCTGTCCACCCCCGCCACTTCTATTACTTCTTGCTCATCCTGATCCTTGTTCATCGGGTGCGTGCTCCTTGTTTGCTCGTTGATTTGCACTTTTTTCAACCCTGCGTTGTTGTGTCGTTGTGGCCGACAGTGCCACGCCCCTGGTCTTGGTCTCTCTCTTTTTTTCCTTCTCCAAGACCACACATGCAGACACACACGCACACAACACCAATCTTTTCCTATTCCTCCCTACCGTCTTCAGTCATCATCGTCTTACTTCTAACTTTTTCTTTGTTTGCTCACGGCTAATACCAACTGTCCCTAGACGTCCGGCCCACCGCCCGGCCTAGCTCTGGCTTACTTTTTACTTTTTGAGACGGACTGGGGTGGCCCTGGCTCCAGGCGGCCCTCCTCTACCAGCCAGTAGGAAGCCGCGCTAAAAAAACAACGACAACCTAATAACTACCACACATACAACACATAACTAGCATCCCCAAAGGCTTCATCTCGCCCAGCCTGCTTCCTTTGAATTCTTTTGCAAACCTTTCATCCAACCCCAGTCATCCTTCTGACACAAAAAAGTCTTTACCTATACATGATCCTCTCATTTCTCCGCCATGGCTGCTGAGAATGAGTCGCCCGCTCGCGAGCCCGCTACTCGCGGCCGCGGCAGGGGCGGGCGTGGCGGTCGCGGCGGACGAGGCAGAGGCGGCAGCAAACTCGCAACCTCTGCCGCTGCCTCAGCTACCAAGCTCTCCGTGACAAAGCCAGGTCGCGGCGGCTCCCGCAGAGGTCGCGCAAAGAGCTTTACAGATTCTCGTGTCCAGGCCGCCTATGAGCGCCAGCGCGATCTCAAAGCCACCTACCAAGCCGTTGCTCATGCCATCAAGCCCGCGCTCCAGGAGCTCGCTGACCGTTGCATTGACGAGGTCCTGCAAAATCCAGACCTTCATAAAAACGTTCCGGAGCATCAAAATGTTGTCCGCCAATTACAGGAAAACTATGACAACAGGGTCGCCCAGCACCAACGGCGTCGCGACATTGACCTTAAGCTCGCCAAGGACACCTACGACGCCGAGGTCTATGTCGCCGAGCGTGAATTTCAGGTACGTTGTGCTCCAATCGCATTTTACTCATCCCCTCTTGCACGCGTCCTTGGGTATCCCTATATCCAGCCTGCGTTCTATGCCCAGCTAGCCTTGCTCCTTTCTACTTATACCCGCCTCTACTAACACGCATGCTTCACCCAAACCGCAGAACGCTGTAGATGACATGGAAGAGCAATTCTATGAAGGCCAAGAAAATAGAGTCCGCATTCTGAACGCCCTCTGCGCCAAGGGCCTTCCCGTCGATGTAAGCTCTTGCCCTGCGCTTGGCATGCCGCGGCCTTTTTACTAACATTCAATTTACAGGTCCGTGATGATCAGTATCAGTACAAGACAATCACTGATGCCCACTTTGACCGAGAGTTTGGTCTTTATGAGTGCTACAAGAATGGCCACCTTGTCCCTTACCCCTCGCGTGTTCCTGGCACCGAGATGTGGAAACGGGGCCGTGTTGCCGAGGCCGCCTCGGTACCCGCTCCCTCCAGCACTCCCACCAGGGGTCGCGGCCGCGGTCGTGGTGCTGGCATTAACAAGCGCCGTGCTCAGGACCAGCCCGATGGCCAGCCCATGCTCAAAAAGTCGACTCGCGGCACCGAAGACGCTGCACTCTTGGAGCAGCAACACGCCGTCACAACCCCTGCCCCTGCCAAGGGTCTGCTAGCCTCCGCCGCTGAGGCAGAGGCTCATCCCAACGGTGTTGCCGAGGAGGAATCCATGCCAGCGTCACCGGAGCCAGTCAGCCTGCCTAATGGCACATCAGCTGCCGCCAAAGATCCGAGCAAGCAGTTGCACGCCCGAGAAAAGAGCCCGCCTCTGCCCAAAAACATTGGCGAGCCCGATGAATACGGAATCCGCTTGTATAACCAAAGAGGACCCCGCGAAAAGGCCATGACTAGCCGATTCATGGCTCCTCCCGTGTTCACATTCAACGACTGGGAGATTGGCTTTAGAGATACTTCCAATGACTCCTCTAAAGGTCATACCAGAGCAAAGCGAGGCAAATACCTCGACACACCCAACAACACTGGCTGGCACTTTGACCAATGGTGCAATGGATATGATTACTCTTCCATGAGCCCCCGTGAGCTCGATGCAGAGCTGGTGGAAAAGCATGGCCTGCACCCCAAGTATGGAATCTTTCTGCCCAGCAGCAAGAATGACGCCGTCACGAGTAGTCCCTATGATATACCGGGCAAGCCGGTTGTCTTCATCGCTACGCCTTCCGGCCGCGTTTCATACGCGTCAAGATCATTCATTCCCACGGTCAATCACCGACGGTCCGAAGAAGCACCTTTTCGTCTCAAATTTGGTGCCTCCGTGCGCCGTTTTTGCAAAATGGATGACATTCAAGAAGAAGATCTTTCGCTCGCCGATACCTTGCCGTCTTTCATTGAGTTAAAGAAGAAATCGCTCGGTACTGCTGCCAAGGAAATGAAGAAGAGACCAATCGTGGAGATCCCTTCAGAAACGGAGGAAGAGGTTGAGCCCGAGGAAGCCAAGGAGACGGTCGACACTGCCATGTCGGCCACGTCGGCCATGGCGGCCATGTCAAGCTTACTCTATGCGTCTGCCTTCGTTGCAGCCCAGGAGACAGTCAAGGCGGCACCTCCACCTCCGCCCCCTAAGCAGGCGCGGTATGACGCTATTCGTGACGTCTTTACCGACAACAGTGCGCGACCACCGCCTGCACCACTGCAGGATGCCATGTCCCTGAGTCTCAACACACTTGCAGAGCTTTGCAATGTAGAAACTCGACTACCCGGCGGCACCGGTGTCGTTTTTGAGCCCGAGCACAAGAGCCCTGTGAAGAAGGAAGAGACGCCACAGGCCAGCTCCTTCGGTCAATTGCCACCCAGTCAGCGCGCCGAGCGTCACTCGCCCTATGGTTACTCTTCTCGTGACCGAGCATACCCCCAGCCGCCATCATCGGGCACCCTCCCCGAAAGCAGCCCGTACCCGCCTCTGGACCGTGGCCTCCCACCGCCTGCACCTATGGACTTTAAGTCCCATTACCCTCTTCCGCCAGGTCCCATCTCACAGGACCACAGCTACTTTTACCCGCCGCATGATATTCGTGACTCAATGACGCCGGGACGCCCTCTTGACCATGGTTATGGCCATGGTCATCGCCGACTCAGCGGCTACGGGAGCGAAGCTCCACACGCACCACAGTCGTACTCGAGAGGCCCGTACTGGCATCAGTCGCCATCCGCGCCGCCTCCCGCAATTCCACAGCCGACACACTACGGCGTACCACCTCCTCCGCCTTCTCGCCTATCCTTCACGCAGCAGAGCAACGACCCTTTGCCTCCTCTGCGACCGCCTCGTCGCAATCAATCGCTGCCTGACGAGCCCATGCACGACAGCCAGCGGTCCAATATACACAGCGGCATCTACTACCCTCCTGGCCCATCCCGGTCCTACCAACGCAGCGGGTTCCCGACAGAACCTCTGGCACCACTGCAGTCAATGCCAGGTGAACGCATGCTGCCGAACCCGCAGGCTCAGGGCTACATGGGCTCGCCGCCGCCAGGCTACACCCACCAGGTGCTATCCCCAACATTTGGTAACCCTGGCCTCCCTGGCGTGATTGGTCAGAGCCCCCCGGGCACACCCCAGGGAATGCACAGCGGCATCCACCGCCATCGCTCTACGCCGTCTGGTTCATCTGATGCTGGGTCCAACAAGTATAGGAAGCTGCAGCCCGCTCCTGTACCCGCCCACCGCAACTGGGCAAACAAGCCAGAGCTCAAGACGATTCCTTATGACCACAAAGAGACTGGTTCGTCGGCAGCTCTGCCTAGCTCGGGCCCGACACAGATTAGAGGCTGGAACGTGAATCAGCCGCGCAAGCGCAGCAAGGCAGAGAAACAGGAACGCGCAGAGTCGAGCAACGATCGAGACGACTCCAGATAGCGTCCGGAGTCGTCTCAATCATGCAAATCTGGCACTGACGCGGCGACAAAAGCAAAGGGCAAGGCCAAGGCCAAGGCCGTGACACCGCCGGTAGAACCGCTCAAAGTGCACTTTTGTGCGCCAGTGCTGGGTTTGCCGCCGCTGTGTCCACGCGAACAGCAGCGCGAGTCTGTGGAGCCGCAGAAGCAGCCAGATTACTTGCTAACGTCACTGCCGTCTGTGCCGGAAGCGCCGTTGGAAGGGGCCGTAGAGGAGTGTCCGAGCGAGCCGCCACCAAAGCGTCTGCGCCCTAGAACAAAGTCGCAGCGCAGAACGGCGGCTGGAATGGCGGCAGCTGCGTGCCCGTCGTCTCCGGCTAAGAGGCAGCGGCAGACGCGGGCAAAACCAAGGAGGGAAACGCCTGTGCCAGTGCCTGTTCCCATTGGTATCGGCGCCGGCCAATCTGCGGTGCCTGCTGCTCCGCTGTTCAATTCCAAGGGTGGGTAGAGACAATGGTGGGCGGCATTTGTGCAGCATGTCCTTCTTCTCGTCTGTTCTCTGTTCCGTGTTACCAATATCACTACCCCATTTCCTATGCATGCTATGTTTTCGTTGTTTCTCCAGCATCATCACACTGGGCGTTTGGAAGGTATTTGTCCTCTTGACTCTTCTGAAAAGGATCCTCTTTTGATTATTTCTTGGCTTTCTTCTTTACCTCGATTACCATGTACTCTTACACTCTTTTCTATTGTACGCGTGCTTTTCTACATTAATTTTTCCCATATTTCATGAGAAACGCTTGGGAGGGATATATCCGGTTGGGAGGGAACAAACAAAAGGAGGAAGGAATAAAGGAGTGAAGATGAGAAAAATACTAGAGCCCTGATTTTGACCTTTTTCTTCTTCTTCATTTTCGTTGTGTTTTTTTGGACGAGGTGCACTGACAGAGGAGCAGAAGAGTTTTGGTTTCTGGGGTCTTTTCTGAATTCTTTTCAAAATAAATCGTTCTTTAAATGCCTCTCTTTGCCCCCCTTGATACTTGGCTGGCAAGTTCTTCTCGCCCGCGTTCAAGGACGTAACAACGTACATGTCTACAATATACACGGTGGCTGGTTGGATGTCTCGTGACGGAGAGTGAAGCAAGGATATAGTCAAATATGAAAGGAAACGTAATTGTCCATGTAGCTGAAAAGAAGAGTACGTAATACAAAATACAGATGTCGTCTTTCCCTTCATCAATCCAGTCAACATCAAAAGAAACTATCCTATGTGGGTATACATCTATAAGCGAAATGGCCCTTTTCTGTATTTTCTCCTTTCTTCATACCTCATCATCCCATGAGCGTCTGTCTTTTGTTTTCTGGTTGCGTCGTTCTACTGCATTGCGTCGTCTTACTACACTCTGGCACGGTTACGCTCCGCTCGTCTGCTCTGGCTGGCCGGCGACAACCGTCGCCACGGCATCCTGTGGGGGCTGCTCCGGCGCGGAGACGGGTTGCTGCGTGGGCGGCTGCTGCACGGGCACGGTCGGCTGCACACCCTCTTGTGGCAGTACCTGCTGTTGCTGCTGCTGCTGCTGCATCCCACCAGGCAAGTTCATTGCGTTTTGCGGCGCCCCCAAGGCGGCGATACCATTGCCGTCCACGGGGAAGCCGGCGCCAGCGCCGGAGGGCATGCCCATCGGCAACCCTACGTCTAAAAAGCCGCTCACCGCCGCCGCGCTGTTGCCATTCAGGTCGGCGGTGCCGCCGGCGGACAGCTGGTGCGCGCCGAGTACGCCCTCTGGGTGCAGCGCGTATACGAGTGCTTCCATGGCGTGGCCGTCAAAGATGACGGTGTTCTGCATTGGCTGCTGCTTCTGCCCGAGCACGTTGACAACGTCCTGCGCGAGCTGGCCGCCGAGGACGGCCGCGACGGGCGCGACCTCGGCGCCGAGGTTCTGCAGGAACGCGCGGAGAAACTCGGGGCGCAGCGTCTCCGGGGGGAGGCGGAGAGCTTTGTGCTTCTGCGTCGCGAGCTGCGTGAAGCGGCGGAGGTCGTCGCGCGTAGCGGGCAGCGGCTGCGCGGCGCCCGGGGGAGAGGTCTGGATAAACTCCCAGAGGGCGCGAAGGCAGGACAGCGCGGGGGTGACGGCGCGGAGGCGCCGCTTGGAGGAGGTGTACTCGGCAGGCAGCGTGGCGAGCTCGCTTGCCAGGAACCAGGTAGAGTATAGCTCGCGTTTCGTGACGGCCTCGACGGTTTTGCCACCTTCCTGATGCGTCTGGACGTTGATGATAGAACGCGTCCGCGTTTCCTGCTGCGGGACGTGCGTGGCGACATTTCCGGCGTCGCGCTCAATCACGTACTCGTGCTCGATGAGGTCGCTGAACAGGAATCCGTACATGCCGTGGGTGCCCGCCGCGTAAAACGCCTTGCCGTTGATGCGCGTCGCGGTGTTGATCAGGTTAAACGAGTCCGGATCAAGGTCCGTCGCGATAACAATGTCAAACCCCGCAAAGTAGCTCGGCCCTTTGCTCTTCACACCCTCGGCGTCAACGTGCACCTGCACACGGGGGTTGAGCTTGCGGAGCGCGGGCGCGGCCGCCTCCGCGCGATTCCGCCCGACGTGGGTTTCATGGTCCGCGCCGCCGTCATTTTGGAAGAATTGCGCACCGAGGTCCGCCTCGCTGACCAGCGCATCATCGAGTATGGTGAGGGAGCCGACACCGGCAAGAACCAGGTTCTTAGCGACCTCGTTGGCGAGTGCGCGCATGGTGATGAGCAGGATGCGGGCGTTTTGGATGCGGGCCTGAGCGGCCATGCCCCAAAGGCGAATCTGGCGATCATACAGCGCAATTTCGTCTGCGTGAGGTGCGGTTAGCTTGGGGTGTCTCAGGTAGGCGGCAGAATGCTCGAGGGCGGGGAGAAAGAGGAGCGTTACCGGCAGATATCGGCTTAGCTTGTTGCGGCGGCTGTGAGGGGACTTGGCCGTTGGCAAACATGAGCGGTAGCATCATTGATGGATCGCCCATGGGGAGGGCAGCCATGTTTGGGTCAGCAATGAATCTCTGGCCGTTAAAGATGCCGGCCATGGCGTCTGGATTCGGCATTTGGGGGAGAAGGCTGGGATCGAATGGCGGCGCACCGTTGGCGTTGGGGGTGTTTTCTTGAGCTTGGGGCTGGGCTTGCGCATTGGCGCTCGTTTGCCGCTGCTGCGAATCCATAGCGGGGGGGTTGAGCCGGAAGCTTGATAGCGTACGCGATGAGTCGTGTCGATTAGAGATGGCGGGCAGTGTGCGAAAGAGGGTGAACGGCCGAGCAGGTGAATGTATGCGGCAAACAGCCGCTGTCAGTGTTGTCCGAGAACAAGGGAGGGTATGAGTGAATCAATTCAGATTATGTAACAAGAATTCGACGCGGACTACTTCACGCGATTGTAGCCGTGTTTGCGATGTGGGATGGCTGGTGATGAACTGGATCGATGAAAAGTGAAGTGAGATGTGGTTGTTGGTGATGAGTGTTGCGCCAGTGGAAGTCGGGTAAAATTGTTAGCACATGACCCGAGGTGGCCTCCACAGCGCCATAGTGTGACAGGTACCGTAGCATCAGGGAGCTGAGAACAGAGGCAATTGGCGGGTATCAGGGTAGATGCCGCGGGTCTGTAAAAGTTCCATCAGTAGAAGTATGACTGGTTTGAGAAAATGTCCGAAATTCCACATGTAAAGGAGCTTTGTGGTGGTTGTGATGGGGCCTTTGTAGGACAATTTGTAGGACAGGTAATGCCCGGGCTGCAGGCTGCATGTCGGCATAGAGCTGACGAGGTTGTTTCTGTGCAGGTCGGCGGATTATGGACAGGCTACGGAGTATATTCCAGGATAAACGTGGTACGAGCTCTCGTACATATAATCAATTGGTGGCAGGCCTTAACCAAGTCTGGCCGAGATAGCGTCCAAGACTGTCAGGCCAGACTCAATTGATGTGGGTTTGAGGCACAGCAGACATTGAGGTGTATCATAAAGGCATAGATAGATACAGTTCATCGCCTACCTCTTAGTAGTTGCGATCCTTATTCTATTTAGCAAATTTCAGGTCGACGACGTACATGGACACGCTTGGGCGCTATGGCAGTCGAGGAGTCGTCCGGCAGCAACTCGAGAAAGTATCAGTGAAAATAGTACATTGAGAATAGTAGATTTGAGTGGGTTCAAGCAAGAATATTATCATGAGGCAATTCTGGTTAGGAAGTGCATGAGCGTCACCCTCTTGTGATGGAGTGATGAATGTACAGTGATGGCATGGCTTGGTAGGTTCGGCGTCGTGGCCGAGGTGCACTGTAGCGGGCGCACTGTATACAGTGTAACAGACTGAACAGTGGATCCAAGGTTATTCAGGGCAAAATATCACCAAATCCCAGGAGGCACTTAGAAGCCAGCCAATCGTTGTTCAGCGGCCCAAGCTGCCCCCCCCTGGAACAAACGGCCCTGCACAAACGCTACAGGGGATTTAGGGCACGACCAGCGCTACTTTAGGTACCTACGGAGTACTCCGTCCGCTGATGCGATTTCGGCTCCTGTGGCTGCCTGCAAACGAAAGCCCGGCAAATCACCACTCTAGGGAGGTAGGTACCTAGAGTCTAGAGGCACTTTTCTTTTGGCCGCTAATACCAGCTGCCAACTCTCCACCCATCGTTTGCCCACATGATGTGATTCAATCAGTCATCCATTGGCGGCAACATCTCCCTCTTTCAAACTTGTTCTGTCTTGTGAAAAGCGCAGTCTTGTTGCCTTCTTCATTTGCCGTCTTCTTCTCGTCTTCATCCCGTCTTCATCCCGTCTTCAGTCCATCTGCCTCGACCACTTCCCCCGACAAGACTCGGCCAGCTCACACGTCTCACATCCTCGCCACCAACTTTGCGGCCACCACCACCATCTGCAACACCAGCACACCAAAACGCGACACCTGCATCGTCGCCCAATCAAACTACCATAGATACACCGTGCCGCCACACTAGTTATCCGATCAAGACCTCGTCTTCTCAGTCTTTTTTCTCTTCTTCCTACGCCCTTGCCTTCCGATTCCCGACTCTGCCACGCCCGTCGGTCGACTTTGTTCTCACCCTGGCCTGACTCGACCCTCACTGCCGTGCTTGTGTTACCGCCGCCCTCTTCACCAAGCTTCGCCCTGGTCCTCCCCCCCCGTCATCACGCAGTCTGGTCACCGAATAAGCTCGTAACGCCTGCCCCCAAACCCCCCAGTGGTCTGTCGCAGCTTGCACGCCTTTTCGTCAGCCATCATCGTGTCAGCGAGTTCCAAGACAAATCGCCGACTCTCGGCACCCCAGCTGCGTCGCCCGACGTTACACAACGCACGTATTGCTACAGTCTCAATAGCCATCATATCTCGGACACAAACCTGCCGTATCGGCCACTTATTCACATCCATCCGGATTACCATTTTCACCCTCTTACTCGGCATATTACTAGCGGCCGGCTCAGTCTCCCCCGCCACCAAACTTTCCTCGCACCCTTCACTTTCCGGCCTGGCTCACTCATTTCATCGCCTACCCGCTATTAAACCGTTGGCCGCACAAGTGCCACCAGCCTTGGCCCTGACCCTGCATATTCATCCTCTTCTACACGCCGACTTTTCTTTTCGCCAAACCCTGGCACATGGCACAGATTCTTCGCTCACTACACCTCTGAACAATGTCATGGCAAAATTCCAACAATCCCTCACGGCGGCCACCAGACCCGCGCCGTGCCGGCTCCCGGCCCAATGACGAAGCAGAGTACCCTCTTCCGGGCCTCGTCCCGGCTTCCAACACAGTAACCTCCTCCAACCCCGCGCCCCTGCCTCGGATGATTGCTGCTGCACGCGAACGTCTTGCCAGCTCCAATCGCGACAGGATCAACTCGATTCTCGGCGACAGCCCTTACACCACGCGGCGCTGGACACCGTCGCCAGGCGAAGACGCCCAGGAGCAGCAACACCCGCGCCAGAACCGTCCCAGCCCGCCGCCCTCGCGCTATGAAGTCACTCACATGAGCACCTCATCACTCACCGTTCCGCCGCCGTGGGGCCAATTTGAGTATCCCAATCGCATGACCAGCCTTGAGCAGCTCGATCGCACCCTAGATGAGGCTAATGCGCACCTGCGTGCGCTGCTCGACATGACCTCGGCCAATAGCGTCTCGCGTCAGCTCTTACCGACCACTCAATCATCAAATTACACGCCACCCATCCGCAGACATGATTTCACCTATGACAATCAGCGCAATAAACGCAGAAAGGTCGACGATGAGCGGTATACGCACGCCACCGTCGAGAGCTTTCGCTACGGCCATTATGGCCAGGTCGAAGCCGGCGACTTGGAAATGGAAATGGTCAGCTGCGACGGCGGCATGTTTTCAAATGAGTTGTCGTATGCCGCCGAAAACATTCTTAAGAATGACAACTCAGTCTACTGCACCAAAGGAAATCGGTGCAACATTGTCCTGCGTCATCGAGGTTCCACGACGTTTACGCTATCCGAACTCGTCATCAAAGCTCCCGGCTCCATGAACTACTCTCACCCGTGCGTACTACACGACTCATGCCCCGTTATTCACTAACAAATTCCCTCTCAGCGTCCGCGAAGGCATGGTCTTCGTCACCATGGAGCAGGACGATGTTCTGCACCGCACCGCCCAGTACCAAATCCAGTACGCGCCGCCCACCACTGCCACGCCACGCGACCGTGTTACCTTTACCAATACGGATCCGCGCACGCGCTTCAACCGCGAGCCTCAGCAGACCGTCTCCGTCTCGCACAACCGCGACGGCACCCTCACCACTCGCGCCGGCCGCTCCTTCATCTACAGCCATGACAGCGACGTCCGCATGCCCCAGATGCCCCGCGAATTCACCGCCAGCCAGCCCGATTTCCGCATCAGCACCGAGTTTAGCGATGAGGAAGACGATGTCACTGGAACCTTTGGCCCCACCCCCGTGTCCATCCTTCGCCGGCCGCCACCAAACCGCATCGGCACTCTGCCATTTGAAAACGACAATGAAGATGACGACGACGACGCTTCCGAGGACTCGGACCCTGACCACGACCCCGTTACCACCGACTTTCTCTCTGACCACAGCCTGCGCCGCCTCCGCCGAGGCAACCCCGCCAGCACCAGCACCGCGGACCTCATTCACATCCACGCGGATCACCATCATCATCACAGCAACAACAACACCTCCCGCCATAGCAATGCCCTTGCCGAGGCCTGGGACGCTCACGCTAGCGCTACTCAAGACGCCATCCGCGCCGTCGGCGGCGGTGCGATGCTCGCACCGCACGCGCGCTTCCACATTGAGAAGAAGAAGAGCAAGTGCACCATTCGCTTCGACCCCCCCGTCGCCGGCCGCTTCATTCTGCTTAAAATGTGGAGTTCCCACCACGACCCCGGCAGCAACATCGACATCCAGTCCGTCATTGCCAGGGGTTTCGCAGGGCCCCGCTACTTTCCCGCCGTGGAGATGCGGTGATGCAGGCTGACGGGGGGTTTGGCATTATGTTGCCCTGGCTTGTGGAATGATTCCTTCTTGTTAGTTTTGGTTTGTTGAAATGCGGTATGCATTGCTACACGCTGCCCTTGCACCTTGACAATATTTTTCTGGGACATTGCTTACGGAGTTGGGGTTTCACTCGTGCTTCATTTGGATATTACATTGGATGCATTTACACCGTACGTAATCACCTGTAGAAACACGTATAGACATGACATTTCATTGAGCTGACTACCGCAATGTGGACGATGCCAATAAGTCATCAATTGCTAGTTATACCAAGTAACTCTATTGCCAAGTAAACTATTGCCAAGTTTACCGTGTCCTATGCATGTAGAATTGCATCAAACCCTGCCTAATTTCACTTTTTTATCACAGTCATTACATGCCGCCAACCGTATTCCCTATAGTTGGTGCAAGAGCACAAATGACACCAGCAAAAAGGACGCCCATGAAACTAGGCTGCATTAGTGTTGATTCGGCATCAGCAGAGAGCAATATACATACACAGTGAAATGAAACATGAATATGGCAGACTTGACAGCGCTGGAGCCATCCATGCCAGCCTCCATGACAAAGGCTCCCACGATGCCGCCGGCACGCTGCGAGTTGAGAATTGACGAGGCCAAAGTAGGATCTCTGACCCAGTCAATGATTCCTGTGATGTTATGGGCCTCATGATCATGAAAGTTCCCAAGCGCCATGGAGATTGCCTGCAGCATGATAGAGAAAAAAGGTGACAGATCGGACGGCACGGTCCAGCCTACGTAGAGCGGCGGAGCGAATAGCAGGAGCGTAAAGAAGATACCTCGAAAGACCCAGTTGAGATCTACTGGTACTGAGGGTCGGTGAAGGGTCAGTCGTGCCGCTATCAAGCCCGATGTCAGCGTAGCGGCGATGGCTGCCATCATGATGAAGCCATAGAGGTTGGCGTGGCTGACACTGCAATAGGGCAGCAGTCCTATCTGGCATAACGCCCAGTCCTGCTCGGTAGCTCTTGATTGCGTTTCCTTCCATGCTCTAGCGGACAGGATGACGAGGAATAAGTTGTAAACGCCATAGAGAGTAACACAAGCAGAGATGACGACCTTGCTAATGTACTCCGGGGCGACAATTGATGGTGTTTGAGCGGAAATGGCAGAGTTGGCTGCAAACATGTTGACGAGGAGATCAGAATAATATGCTGAAACGAATGCAGCAGAAGAGTGTGAATGCAGAGAAGCAAAGAGGGAGGGAAAAGAAACGAGCGAGCAAGTAGTCATGGTGGAAAAGGCCCTTGGCTGACGTCCTTGATGTCAACGCAGGCGCCAGAATTCACGTTGTTGGCTCCTTCCTATGATAGGATTGAAATCGGAGACGGCGGCGGAATAGTATGTGCTGCCAAGCAGAGCTACTCATCCGAGTGTTGGTTGGGAAGTTGGGTGCACTGCAGAACTGATCAGAATGGACTTGTATTTGTATGTCTAGAATTGGGCCAAATAGCAATTCAGTTCATGTCACATTCTTTATTGTCTGCTTCTCAGCAATTTCCTATGAATGTTGGCAGGTCTACTACTGCTCTGCAAGGCAAAGTTTGGAGCACCTGTTTGCGAATCATAAGGTAATATTGTAGATTGCAACGGTAGAGCAGAACGGTCTGAGTGGCTTCGATCGTTTGCGTTCATGACCAACTGGCATTCTACGCTCAAACATTGCTGTGCGAAGGAGTTGAGCGTCACAACGAGACAGGGAAGCTGAAGAAGGTCAAGCGAGGTAAACTGCAAGCACGTTTTTGAGGCTCATGAGAAGCATGTCGTCAGACTGAACGCCGCTTGGTGCTTGCATAATATTAGCAACCGTCTTTGCAGTGCAGCCGACTTACACGCAGCGACAGCATCCGTCCGAAGTAGATCCATAGAGACTAATTTCGCGCCTGCCTTCTTCTTCTGCCGACCTATCTATGCTTTCACCGAACCAAGCGATGCGTCGAGTAGCATTACAGAGGGATATCTTGTTATTCATGATGGTCACTCACCACCCCTCCACTGCAGTCGAAAAAAAGGAAGCGGGGGCATCCGTGCCGAAATGACTCCCTGAGGTGTCTCAGCTTGTACTAGGTGGCCAATTAGATGAATTTGCTTGTATGTTTGAGCAACCTCGAGAGCCTGCCGGGTTAGCGAATATGATGGCAAAATAGGTTTCAAGACCGCTGTTCCCCAAGGAGCTCTCCTTGGCGAGCGAATCATGGGCATAGAAGCAAGCATTCGATTTTCTCGCCGTGCAGCAAGCAGCGCGAGGGGTGTGTTACCCTATTTACGGGCGTCCGGAGCAACACAGTAGAGAGCAGGAGGTGATGGCTAGCATTCCTGTCGGCCAGTGGGGGAGCGGCGTTGGGTGGCAGGTGGCAGACCATGGCTTGCACGTCTCATGTGCATGCTCTATAACGGCATTGCAGATATAGCATATGCGCATGATTTTAAATATGGCTGTGGCCAGTCGCGCATAAATCGAGTAGATACTGAAAAAATTGCCGAAAGCTCTCTGCCTGAAATCATGAGTTTGCAGGTGTGAGAACGGCTGACAGCTGGCAGAGTCGGCCACTGTAAATGCTCGGCGATGATTACAAACAACATACGCACCTTCACCATCATCATCATCATGCACCACCAACCATCCCACCAACACACTAGGACCGGGGGAAAACAAAAGGTGTATAAACATTCAGTCAAAATCACGTCTGACACACGCGGGGAAAAAAAATAGATCAACATACCTCCGAAGAGGGTTTGACGTAGCCGGACATAGCACCACAGGCTCCGTCGAGGCCAAAATCGTCACGAATAAGAGACAATATTCCAGGATCCCAATCACATCCGCAAGCAGCCTAACGAAAGTCCGCACTAAGACACTTTTCTCCAGCCAAGGCCTCGCCTCGGCGCTAGTTCCGTTCGCATTCAAGCTAGCACAGAAGAGCCGACTGTGGTTGCATTCCAGCGCCGTCCTCCAGCCCGTGGTTGGAATTCGAGGTACCGGGATGCCTTTGCCGGCTTTGACAAGAAAGACCCGTTCGTTGAACTTGTAAATGTTTATCAGCGCGGTCATTTTGTTGCAATTCTTTCCTTCTTCTTCTTCTTCTTCCTCTTCTTCTTCACGACACCGACGGCAAAGCACAAACCTCGTCACAATTTTCGTGGCTCCTTATAATTATACATTGGGCACTGCTCGCCCGCATCAACAACGGCTACGCCCAAGCTTATCCAATCGTTGTCCCGGTGATATCCAGTCACGGCCTCGCAGCCGTTAAGGCCCGCTGCAGACTACGCCCTAAGCCACCAGCGCCCAAGCGACCGCACAAGAAGATTTCGAACGATTCGGAGGCTTCTTCATTATACAAAAGTCCATCAACAAACGAAACCTCGAACATTTTCACGGCAGGTTTGGGGAGCCTCAACGCAAAACCTCCACACATACCCTTGATTCATACCGGCCCACTTGGGGTGTATTTGTTCAGGCGCCAACGCCTCTTTGATGTGCGATAATGGCAGGCATATCTGTTAATACTGCTGCATTTGCACATGATGATACCCCAGCAATTAAGGGGCATGAACAACCGCGAAACTGGCCCATGATAGACCTGCAGGACACTGCAGATACATCCGGTCTTGCCATCTCCTTCCCTTCACAGTCGCCCAGCACCACCAAGCCGCAGAGGAGCGAGACTGCCTCCTGCAATGACAAAAGGCCTTGTACACCGCATCACCAATTTTCTGCTCGCCCGGCCAATTTCACAAACTCCTCCGAACCCAGGTCGCTGGCGGACACTCCGAGAGCACCGCGAACTAGACCAGGGTTGCGCGGCAATTCAGAATCCACACCTAATTACACCACATCTTGGACCGCTCGGAGCACTCCTGACCTCTCTTCACCTAGTCAAGGATCAACTTGGTCACACTACACCGATCGTCTTCGCAACATCAGTGGTCTTCAGACTTCGTCCATTTATACGACGCCGGCCAGAGGACTCGCCACACGAGAGTCGTCACCAGCAACCTCTTTGAGATCGGTGACATCCTCGGCAACGGGCTCCGCAACATTATCCTTTATCGCTTCAAAGATGGCTGCTCTCAAGACCATAGCGTCGCCTTTGCTCACCGGTAATGGCTGTGGGAATGAGCTGATTGATCTGGATATCGAAGCTACGCTCTTCCCCAACGGCGCGCCGCAAGACGGGGAGGCCGTCTCACCCGCGGACTACAAAAGCCTGCAGATAAACGCCCTCGAACTCCTCCATCGCTTCCAAGCTACATATAAGAGCCAGACTATTGAGTTTTGCACACTCAAGGCCGAAAAAGAGGCCCTCGAAGACGAAAAGTGCGAAGCAGAGACCCGCGCGCGCCATGCCAAGTTGCAACTGGACGAGGTTGCCAGCAAGGCAGCCGAGAGGGGGGCCGCCATGCAGGCTTATATTGATGAGCTACGGCAAGAGAATAGAGCAATGGTACAATACGTTCGCTCACCAATGATGTCTGAGGATCTCGGCGTCGAGGAGGACCAGGCCAAGAAGATGTGGCGCCGCAGCGGTGATACTTTCAAGACCGAGGCTAGCTCTGACACGGACGAGGAGAGCGTCGCCGAAGTCAGCATCTTTTCAAGGCCAAGAAGCCCAACCATGGCTACTCCAAGTTCCGAGATGGGCCCCCACGGACCGATGCCTCGCGGCCGTGCATCCGTCTCTGGAGCCTCCATTCACACCGTGTCTTCCCAGAAGCCCCAACAAATGACGGCGTTTCGCAAGCTCATCAAGGGCATCTCTGGCGAGGCCGACGTTCGTACCGTCACCGAGTGTAGCAACTGTCACGGTCAACACGCTAGTATAGCCTGGGACACGGCGAGTCTCATGCGGGACGAGAACCGCGGCCTCAAGATGCGAGTCACCGAGCTGGAATCGGCACTTGATGGCGCGCTGGATGTAGTAAATGGGCTGGAGCTGTGAATTCGGGCCAAGAGCTCTTCATTTACCACAATGATGTGATATGCGTGGCGTTAAAGGAGATTGGGTTACTTATTGAATTTAAATGGGCTTGGAATTAAGCAGCCCGCGGCGATGAACACGCACGCTTACGACACGAATAGTAGGGATTATTCTGCAATATATTTTCATTAGTCATTGATGTATGCCCTTTTGAAGTGAGTGCTCTTTGAAATCCTTGCTCTCTCGCGAGGTGCACCTCGGTCCTAGGGGCTTGACTCCTCTCGATTCTCGCTTTGTCCTGTTGGTTGTAGTCAATTTGTTGTTGATAGAACAATCGCCTAAATTTGCGATTGTTTTTCATCGAATGTAGTCGAGATTATGCCTGCATCATAGGGTGTATACAATTTTTACCAATCGTAGACTGTTGTATTTGCGTATTGTTATTTCTTCATTTCCCAGGAACCGTAGTTTACATGGGCAGACGCACACAACAAATGAAACAAAACAAAAATAATGTGATCCAGCCTCCGAGATGGTCGCTCTCCGAGTGTTCATAATCTTTCCCAGAGAAAACACTTCCCTGGCACCCATGTCATCCTCAGAAGCCGCCCGACGCTCTCTGAGAGGACTTGCTCCTCTACCAATTTTTATACATTGCCAATGCGAAAACGCTCTAGTCGTTCCTTCACCTCCATGTAACCCTCTCGCGGACCTCCGTTAGTGGTGTGCTTCGTCACCGTGGTGGTGCTCGTCTTGCATGAAAAAGTGCTCGTATGTGCAGTATCCGGCAAAAAGGACCGTGGCCGTGCCGAGACCGGGTAGAGTGCCGCGGAACCGGTTGAAGCGCGTAAAGGGGCCCTGAAATCTCCAAGCATCACTATCCGTGGCAAAGCCAATCATGTTAGCAACCTGTTCGTTCCATTGCGATACTCGAGTTTTGGTTCGTTCGGAAACGGAGGTTCTTTGGGGGTCGGTGACGTACGCTCTCTCCCAAGGGTCGTAACGGGCCTTGCCGGCAGCCTCTTTGAAGGCGCGCATGCTGAAGCCGGTAATGTTGGCCTTGCCGCCCTGGGCTGCCCTCAGTATTCTGTGCCATCACCAACATGTTAGCGCACGCTCTTTGTTTCGGTCGGGGAGTCGGTGCGGCGCCGCGATGACGGTTGATGCGCAGCGGCGCCAATCGAGTATGAGCACGTCGTGGTCGCACCTTGTGGGAAGCATTGTGACAAATTGATGGCTGAATTTCGAGTTACGGACCGGCAAAGTAGCTGGGAAGCGGATATGTCAAGGTAAGCTGGGTTGCTTGTCGCGCGATTGGGTGAGCGGATGGGACGACGGATAAACATTATTCCCAGCTGTGCACTTGGCATTTTGCGGCGCGCGCCTGGCGGCACGAACGCACGGGCCAGCCTCCGATCTTGTGCATTTGCTGGCACCTCTTCGCTCTCGAGTGCTCTTTTGACTACATCACGCATCGCTTATCGGTCCAATCTTACGCACCACGTTTATACTTTGCCGTCGCCGGAGCAGCTCGTCAACGTCACTTTGCAATACACGCTTTGAGACACGACACCATCTTCTGTCGTTGCGCTCCCGTACCACCAAACCCAGCGACCAAGAACGCTTCACGACTGTGCCTCGCCCGCGACGCAATATTGATAGCACAGCATCACTAGTGCGCAAGCAGCAACGATCGCCCCCGTTTGTGCAACGCCCTCATTCTTCTCTTCACCTTGGGGCGCAGCCAAACTCGCAGTCGACATCGCCCACAGATAGGCTCGCATTGTCCACACGACCTGATGCACCCTTACTACGTCCCGCCACAACCTCCACCTTCCACCGATTCCCGTTCCTAGAACCCGCCCCGTTCTCCAGGCCCCTACCAAGCGCAAGCTGCGCAACCGGCAAGAAGCTTGGTCGTCTACAATCGACGATCGAACAGCGAACAGTACAGACCACCCGACCCTGCTTACCAACAGCTAGTACTTCACCAGAGTAGAAGAAACCGGGACAGCTCAAGCGCAAATCAAGCACCATATCAGGGACACGTTACGCCTTTGCAATCCAGGCCAAGACGTCGGATTCCACCCCCAATGCCTCCGCAGATCCGGGCGTTCGCCTCGGGCCCAGGCGTCGGCGCGCCTTTCCATCAGCCTAGATTTCCTTCGCATGGGCAACCCCAAGGTGGACCGATGGCCGGTAATCAATATCTTAACGCCAATAGTCAAATGAATCCCTTTGGAGGAGCGAATGGTAACTTCAATGTGCCCGGCCTCAACGGCGCCGGAGGCTTTGGTGACTCCGGGTTTGGCGGTCAAGCTTCGAGAATGGGATTTACACATGGCCCAGCTGGCCTTCAACCGCCACAACACGCTGGACAGCTACATCATAATGTTCTTATGGAGCACCCAACGATGCGGCCTCAGCAGAACAGGGGGCGTATACGAGAGGTGTGGAAGCACAACTTGCAAGAGGAGATGGCGGTCCTACGAGACCTTGTGGACAGTTATCCTTATATTGCCATGGTGAGTTTTGACACTTTTCTATTGCAAGGAGTCTCCATTAACGAGACTAGGATACCGAATTTCCAGGCGTTGTATCAAGACCAATGGGTGGCTTTCGTGGCAAGAGCGACTACCACTACCAATGTCTGCGCACCAACGTGGACATGCTGAAAGTTATACAAATCGGTCTGACATTATTCAACGAAGAAGGCGAGACACCGCCCGCTCGACCAGGACCCGAACTCGGCCTCGGCCCGGCCGCGCAAAGAAGCGCCAATCAGGGCCCCTTTCCCTACGCTTGGCAGTTCAACTTTAAGTTTTCCCTCAAGGAGGACATGTATAACGAAAAGTCAATCGAGTCGCTTCAACAGGCTGGAATTGACTTCAACGCACTGGAGCGTGACGGAATTGACCCTCACGAGTTTGCAGCGTTGCTGATTCCGTCTGGCCTTGTCTGCTTTGACGAGGTCAAGTGGATTTCCTTCCACGGTGGCTACGACTTTGGCTACCTGACCAAGCTGCTGATCTGCACGCCGCTGCCAAACGACGAGCACGATTTTGATCACAAGATGAAGCTGTACTTTCCGTCAACGTACGACGTCAAGCACTTGATGAAATACGCCATCCGCCTGCACAACTCGGGGATTCTATCCCCCGCAGATCCCGGTAGCGCCGAGATTTTGCAAAAGTTTGAGCACAAGTCGGGATTGGAGAACATTGCCGAGACGCTCAAAATTAAGCGCATTGGCACCGCACACCAGGCCGGCTCGGACTCGTTGCTGACGGGCAAGGTGTTTTTCCAGATGCGTGACCGCATCTTTAACGGAGACATTCCTGAGGAGCATATCGGCAAGGTGTGGGGCCTAGGTATCCCCGACGGCGGCATGATTATCGCAGCCATGATGAACCGCGGCGAGGACGTCGGTGGCGGCCTCAACGGCACCCCGCGTACGCCCAACACGCACACGGCCCAGCTTGCGACATCGACGCCTGTCAACAACCAGAGCCAGGGCACAAACGGCGTCGGTCACATGGGTCCAATGACGCCCGGTGGCGGCGGGGGCATCTTTGGCAGCTTTGCCTTTACCGGCGCCAGTAGATAGGCCTCTGCTGGTGCTAGTAGATAGGAGGTTTGCCGTGACTCGTGTGCGTAGTTATGGAAGCAACGGGGCGGGAGGAGAGGGAGAAGAGAAGAAAGTCACTAACGAAGAAAGCTCGTCATGGGAAGCTGTATGCACGTCGTTTTGGATTTGTTTTGGTTTCTTGCAGACGCTGGGCCTCGTTTCTCGATTGTCTCCCTCGTCTGGTGTTATTAATATGCATGATACGAGAAGAATAGGGTGGCTTTGGCATTTGGTTCTCGGCGTTTCTCTCCCTCTCTCTCCCCTTTCTTGTTCTTCTTTTATCAGGAAGGTACCGCAGGTGTTCATGGTAAAAGCAGGGCAATGGATCACGGCTTTCCTTTTTTTTTTTCAGTCGCAGTTACAAACTCGGGAGTGCGGGTGTGTGGGCGTGTGGGCAAGACGGCTTGGCTTGGTTGGTCCCCTTTCATCTTATAATAGTTGATTCTATGCATGTACAATTATCGAATGCAGACCTTGTATTGTCTTTACATGATGACATGGCATGGTGAAGATTTGTGATGAGAGTATGAATGGTATTGATCATCAGAGTCATGACTAAAATAAAAGGAAGCCTTGATAAGTGTAGCAAGAACCGGGACAAAAAAACGCCAGTAGTGTTCCCAAGAAAAGCAAAGCAATATCCCAAACGCCAAGCTACCTATTTTGCTATACATGCAGAAGAACCAAGATTGCGAGAGTTGCGCCAAGAAGGAGTGCTGCGTGCACTACGTAATGTATACTCGCTTGAGGGCGTCGGCAGCGTACACCTCGCCCGTGAGCACGTCCCTAACGAGGGCTGGCGGCAGGCCCGCCTTCCGGGACTGGTCTTCGAGGCGGTCCTTACCGTAGACGCGACCGTTGGGCAGGAGGACGAGATCGTGCTCGACATGGCTCTTTGTGTGGTGCGCGTAAGGCACGTTGCGCGCGAGGTCGTTGAGCTCGACGGAGCAGATGGGGCAGACACCGTGACCAATGGTGGACGGTGGGGGTGGTGGCTTGCCGTCGGCAGACGAGGAGGCATGGCAGGCGGGCGTCTTGAGGGCGGAGAGCCCGGAGGAGAGGGCGAGATGGAGGAGCGGCGCCGAGGGCAGCCCGAGGAGGGTGTTGTGGGCGGCGGTGAAGACGTCGGCGAGCTGGGCCCAGCGCTGGGGCGCGTACAGGTGGGCGTAGGCGCCGCGGGCGCTGCCGCGGGCGCGGGAAGGCGGGAAGGCGAGGAGGCCGCTGGCCTGCTTGACCTCGGCGGGGTATGCGTGCCAGTAGGGGATGAGGTGCTTCTTGGCGTGAGCGATGGCTTCGAGGAGCTTGGGCTGGGATTGGGAGCGGATGAGCTCAATGTACTGCTGGAAGCGGAGGAGGAACTCGAGTTTGCTCTGGGTATATAGTCAGCTTTTGAATCATTCTTGTTTACTTTGCGATTTCGTATCTGGAGGACCACGGCACAACGAACCTCCATCTTGCGCAGCTCCTTTTTATTCTCGGTGCACCACGCCAGCGCCTCTGCGATGCTGCCACCGAGAAGCGCCTCGCGGATGCGACTCATGGCCTTGAAGGTGTCGACATCCACGAGCGCCTCGATACCGCGCTCCTTTGCGAGCTGCTCGGCGCTCTCACTGTACCCGTGGCGCAGGAGGTAATCGGCGAGCAGGCGGTCGAGGCGGCGGCGGCTCCAGGCCTCGTAGGCGAGGTCCTCGGGCCCGCCGCGGACGGCGTAGAGCTGGTCGAGGTGGAAGATGCGGGCGGCGGCCTGAGCGTGCAGGCGCTCCTCGTCGCGGGCATGGACGGCCAGCCGGCGGCGGACGCCGCGCATGCGACCGAGCATGGCGTCGAGGTTGCGCAGGGCATCGTGCTGCGTAGCGCGGCCCGAGGCGGCGGCCGTAGCGGCGTCCTTGAGCAGCGTCTTGAGCGCCGATGTGTCCTTTTCAATGGTAAAATGGGCGGCACGGAAAGTTTTGCGTAGGAGCTCGTTGGGGAGGCGGAGAAGCGGTTGGTCCTGAGGGAAGGGGAAGAAAAGGGCTCGGTTAGCAAAACATGGTCGAGTTCAAAGGGTTGATACGATGTCTGTCGTGCGAGGATCGGGAGCAGCGGTGGGAAGCTTACGAGGAGGAGATGCTCGCCGTGCTTGAGCGTGGACTGCTCATGCTCGGCCATTGTTTGCTCAAACGGACGATCGAAAGTTGGGGACGGATGAGAGCATGGGAAAAGAGAGGTCTGCAGGATTTGATGGCGATGAGACGGGTGGATGGGTTTGAAGAGGCGGTGGTTCTAGCTCGCGGTCAGGCCCCACGGGCCCGAACTAGGAGGTGGGATTAAATACGTAGGTGAATAGGCAGGAAGGTCGAGTACAGTGGTTGTACCTATGGCAGAGCACGCACTACCTAATTTAGCCAGGGATCCTGTATGAAGCCAGACCATCTAGTTAATGATGGCACTTCTGTATGACTTTTCGTTAAAAAAAAAAGGAGGGTTAGCTTGTACGTCTGTATTTTATTATCGTTACAGTTTTGTTCAAGTGGCACTGCTGCGCAACTCTTGGTGCAGACATATCTGGACAGGTGATTAGGTTGTCGCTACAGGCGATCCGAATGGGGACGGGCGGGCCTGTAAGAAGGCTTGGAAGGTTATCGGCAGCGGCTGAAGCGGGCATGTAGTGGCAGCGGAGCGTAGCGGGGTTCGGGACGGGCGATGATGAAGTGAGGCCGGATTTCGTTTCTTTTTTCCACTTGAGGTTTGGGTGGCCATGTGAATTGGACCGTGTGGTTGAACATCTTTCAAAGGGCCCGCGTTGTGTGTGTAGCATACTTGTGCACGTCATCTGTGCTTGTCTTGATGACGTTTGATATAGAGGCTGCGACTACACAAACATATCAATAACAGCTCGAATTAGGCATTAAATTAGACATTACGATATAATCACACACTCACCCGACAGAAAATTACCTGTCACCCGAGTAGGCGAAATACCAGTACTTTTCTGTCCGTCGCTTCGCCGCATCTCAATTTCTCAGCTGCCGGCTCTTCTATACATTGACTTGTTTGCCGACAACAAACATCTAGGTCGTAATTACCCGCCAACACATATCCAATGATAGCATGTACAAGTAATCAACAGGTAGCTGAAACGATAGCGCTTATCCGGATTGCAGTTTGCTCGGGTTACACAGCTGGCGGCACCCCAGAGAGAGCCAAGGCTGAGACAGCGCCTCACTCATCCTCACTCGTCGACATGCGGCCCATGCGCCGGAATCAGATCCCGGGACATGTCTACAAAGTCAAGTACGTCCCAGCTGTGATTTGGTTGTGACTTGGCTGCAGGTGGCTAAAAATAAAGGCGTCCGGGCTGCCGACGGATTACTCGTGTTGGTATCCGACAGCGCAGCGGGCGCTTTGTTGGGCGCTTTGTTTGCTGGATTTGTCTCCTAGAGGCTTGAAATCAGCCCCCAATACTCGAAAAGATAGATTGCTTGCATTGCGTAGATTGTTTCATGGCTCTGTTGTAACCGACTGGCCCTATCGCAAAACAAAATCATGGCATATTAAGGCCGGCATTGCTGATCCAGAGGGCTGCATAGATTGTTTGCCACATAATTAAGACGTGCTGCTAGGCTTGCCTTGATTGGGTGGAGCAACCTCTGCCAGATCCTTCCTGCCTAAATTTCAAGGCATCCATCCCTCTTGCCATATATTCTCCCAAGGCTGCCTGCACGTGTTCTGGTCCTCCCTCCCATCCTCGTGACTTGGACACCCCAGCTCGGCCTGTTTGCTGCACGCGCCCTTGGTACGTGTTGCAGCGAGACGCTTCGAGACCAACAAAGTCGACCATTATATTTAAAAACGTCCCTTTCTCATCGCAAAATCAGCTCGCATCCACCGAACCGACTTGTTCGATTTTTTTCTTTTTTTTTTCCATCGGAAACTCGACCTCGCGGCCTTCCTACACGTCTCTGTCTACGCGCCTACTTACATCCGGCCGCGACATCACGAGATTTGGAACCACGCAAAAACACGTGAGGCAAAACCCGTGATCTCGCACCCCCCCAAGGCCCAAAAAACACATGATCTGGCTGGTAAGTGCATCGTCCAGCACCAATACGCCCGCTTTGCACTTTGCGATGAAATTGTCCACATCTCGTCGCGATTTCGATACCGCCAGTGCGCGCATCGTCGCTGCCCAGTCGCCTTGCGACCGTCGCCACGCTTCTGCCCAACAATTTCCTTGCATCATCTCTCCCTATTTTGCCCGTCGCCGTCCCAGTCGGCCGTCTCGCATCGTCCTGGCCAACTTGTGCACTGCCATGAGCTGCGTCTATCTGCTTGGCGCCGCTGCACGTCAACTCGGGTGCAGCGTTGCATTCCGTCGCGTTCCACAGTCAACGAATCGAAGCGAAATTTTCACTTTGCCTCTTTTCATCTCATGACCATCGCGACTCACCTTGCCTCACCATTCCACCCAAAAGCACCTCATACGCAGCAAGCGTGCCATGGCCAAGATGCGTGGCTACTCATTCGCGCACATTTAATGCTGCATGCGTTGTGGCCTGCCTCCTCATCCGTCGCCTTGCTTCCTTCCTGTCATCGCCATGTTCGTCAACGCGCATGTCTCTAGCCCTGTCTAACACTCACTAGTTGTAGCCGAGTTCACCTTGTAAAGCTGGATTTCCATCAGGAGGACATGTCGGACCCTCTCGCGGATCACCCAGACCTCACTGCCCTGACTGGTTCGCCCGGCCAGAAGCGCAAGCGAGAGCCTGACAGTCCCAGCCAGCGGCACAAGCGCATGGCGGCCCCCGCGGCCATGATGGCCGCTGACACGGCTGCCTTTATCGAGAATGCCATTGAGGCCAGCACTGCTGCTGCCGCTAACGGCGTCAACGTAGCCGATTTTAACGCCCTGCAGCAGGCTACCCACGGCGACCACACCGACCAGGCCAGCAACGATGCCACCACCACAGCGCAGGCCGCCCTCGGCATGTATCCCACACTGCATGTGCCTCCGTCCACTGAGGAGCAATTTGCCGCCCAGGCTACCGAAAATGAAGAGGACCAGCACGATGCTCATCCCTTTACATCAGAAATCCCGCAGGACATGATGGACCAGGTCAACCACCAGCCCCAAAACGGCGAGCAGCAGCAACAACAGCAGCAGCAGCGTCACTACTCGGCGTCGTCCCAGGGAGGTAGTGCTAAACCACCGGTGGGCTCGGACGAGTGGCACAAGCTGCGCAAGGACAACCACAAGGAGGTGGAGCGTCGCCGCCGCGAGACCATCAACGAGGGCATTAACGAACTAGCCAAGATTGTCCCCGGCTGCGAGAAGAACAAGGGCTCCATCCTGCAGCGCGCCGTCAGTTTCATCTCGCAACTCAAGGAAAATGAGCAGCAAAACATTGAAAAGTGGACGCTCGAGAAGCTGCTTACGGAGCAAGCCATTACCGAGCTGAGCCAGTCCAATGACAAGCTCAAACAGGAGTGCGAGCGCCTCTACCGCGAGCTCGAGACGTGGAAGCGCGTCGCGCAAAACGCCGGCCTCGAGCCGCCGCAGCCGAAGGAGGAGCCGAGTGTGTCAGCCTAGGTGGCTGAAGCCACGCTGGCGGTGAACCTGTTAGAATCTTTGCCACCACATGCGTCCTGACATGCCCTCTCTTTCGCTATTACTGCCTTTTTTCCTTTCTCGTTTATACAGAGCCACAAGCCCCTCGTAATAAGTGTATGCTCCGGCAATGTGGCGTCGTGCGAGTCGTTTTTCCTTCTTTTGTCTGGTATTGGGGAAGGGAGCTAGGCGTTGGCACTTGGATGTTTTTTTTTTACCCATTCTCTACCTTTGTATTGGATGTTTTAGGGCGATATCAACGTCTAGATGAATATCAAGTCTTGACTTTCCTTTTACATGCTTTTGCATTCGATTAGTTCTTGATGTGTTTTGGTTGCCGACTCGGCAGATTATGTATACATTTTTCTTCTCGTGTAAGAAATGACTCTCGACTTTACTTTCATGTATCCCGATGTTGCTACATTTACTCGTCTTCCCGCCACACACCACTTTTCAAGCAGACGTCCATGCCAAGGTCCACATAACTCGCACATTGGCGGTTCTCAACAAAGTCTGTGACGGCGACGGCTTGGCCTGCATTTCGAGATGGCGAATACTCGAATACCGCCAGTCCTGTAAACGGTCGGCACGCCCCGCTTCTGCTGCCTATACGCAGCCTCCCAGTTTAACATTTGCCTCGCCAAGTAAGCGTACGTCTAGACCTTTGGCCAACGGATTGCAATGCATGAAACTAACAAGTAAGCATAAACCAAACATCCAATAGTTTTCCCAACGGACACATGATACCCCACGGTAACGTTGCATAATGATAAATATCGGCATTTGCAACTCTTTGTTCATCTCGAGTCAAGGCACACAGGGG